CCCTCCTGCGCGCGCCCCGGCGGGGGTGCGCGCGCCCGCCACTACCCAGGTTTCTTCTGCCCGCGGCTGTCTGACACTCCGGAGGACGCCTACTGCTGCCACCTGGAGGCCAAAGGAGGCTCCTGCTGTTCCCGGGCTGAATTCGAGGCTTTGTACCAAGTCAACCTGTCTGCTCTTCCGCCCCCGCCCATCCTCAGGTGAGAACCCTGGCCCCAGAGCCACTGGGAGGGGATCTGGTTCTCGGGGTTCTGTTCTTTTTTTTTAGAGAGAGATTTTTCCTATAGGGCGTATGTGCTCGCCAGAGAGACACAGAGAGACAGAAAGTGAGAAATCACCCCCCCAGGGGGGATGGTCATGCCGCAATCCCTTCTCCATTCTCCTCTCAGGATCTTGGGCAGGTATGCACACGCGCCCGCGCCCGGCGTGAGTTTTAAGTCTCCGGTTGGGGACTCAACCGTAGTCAGCCACGTGAGAGTCCAGCGACTTAACTATTACACCATCTGCCAGTCCCCTGGGGGTTTTATTCTTAAACAGGGTTGGGAAGCTTGTAGCTTATAGCAAGGGAAAGGAGACGGACTGCAAATGGAAAACCGTGGTTTGTCAGCCGCGAAGGGAAAAGTTCAGGAGGCTATGAAGGCTGGTAACTGGGCGCCCTTGCCTCTGTTGTGGGGAGGACGAGCAGGGGCGTTGTTAAGACTGAGAAGAACCTAGTAGTTCGTGGATGGCTTCAGGGTACCCGTGGGCCCCTAAATTTGTATGCGCGTGTGTGTATGCTTGTCTACATTAATGCAAGGAGGGGACCCCAAGCTTCCTCTGGACTCTCGGTGACTATAACCGACAGACCGTAGCAGTGACAGCGCGCCTGAGGCCTAGATCCCTACACTCTCCCCTCTCCCACAGGGGCCCGGGGCCGCTCATAGCGCTAGGACTCTACACCCTGCTGCTCGTGGTCCTGATGACCATAGACCTCTTGCACTTCTGCCGCAGTCGGGGCCGAGGACCCTGCAGGAGCCGTCAAGGGCCTCCCTGCAGCGCGCCCCCTGCAGGCCTCCGCGGGGACAGACTAGGCGCGCCTGGGGCTTCTCTGCGCCTGCGTACCAGAGCTCAGCGCCGCGTCCCTGCCCGGAGGCGCTCGCTCCTTGGCCACGCCCCATCTCTGACGCAAGGTGGGCGGGGCGGCTCCCGGCAGCTTTCCGACTCTAGACTCACGCCGGCTGCAGAGGCTGCGCCTGCGCGGGTACGGGACGACTCCGCGATGACTGTGAGTGGTCCCGGGACCCCTGACCCCAGCCTGGGGTGCATACCCTTCCCCCCTCGCCGTCACCCTTTGAACCTGCCCTTACCATTGTCCACCAGTCTTAACCCTCCACGCGACTCGCCCGCAACCCCCACCCTCCTCTTTTCCTAGCTTCTGGGCTTTGCCCGGAGCCCTCTCCGACGCTTCCACCCGTTTTCTCCTCTAGGCCAGCTCAGTGGAGCAGCTGCGGAAGGAGGGCAACGAGCTGTTCAAATGCGGAGATTACGAGGGCGCTCTGACGGCCTACACCCAGGCCCTGGGCTTGGGCGCGACGTCCCAGGACCAGGCCATTCTACATCGGAACTGCGCCGCCTGCCATCTCAAGCTGGTGAGGGAGCCGGCTGCTCCTCTCCCTGCCTGCTCCGCCCGGGTTTGACCACCTCGGCGGCTGCTGGGACTGGGCATTGGCTTTTCCAGGCCACTTCGCTTGTCATATGTCATTTGGGCCTCGGGGTGGTGGGAGATGGGCGTGACTTCGGAAAATGGGAACACCCCAGCCCCCGGGTTCTTGCTCCCTAGAAGGAGGTGAGCATTCTCTGAAGGCCCCTGTTCTTTCTCTTACAGGAGGATTACGACAAAGCAGAAACAGAGGCGTCCAAAGGTAGGAAATGTGGGCCCCGTCTGGGCTCCTGTGGGGGGCAAGGACTCTGGGACCGCTGCACCGTCACATTCTTTTCCTCCAGCCCCTTAAACACATCTGTCTTCTTTCTTTTCTGCTTCTTCGGGCATCTTCTTTTCTGCAGCTACTCCCTCTATTTCTGAGGCCGAAGTACTGAGTCCCCATCCGTCCCCCCACCTTCCTCTGGCCCTCGAGATCTTCCCCTACTGCTCTTGCCTGGAGACGGTGGCCTCGCGGGTGCTGACAGAGCCCCTGTTTGTGCTCAGCCATTGAAAAGGACGGCGGGGATGTCAAAGCACTTTACCGGCGGAGTCAAGCCCTGGAGAAGCTGGGCCGCCTGGACCAGGCTGTCCTGGACCTGCAGAGATGCGTGAGCCTGGAGCCTAAGAACAAAGTCTTCCAGGAGTCCCTGCGGAACATCGGGGGCCAGATTCAGGAGAAGGTATGTGAGCGGCGGAGAGTGATCCAGGCACTGATGGGCGGTCAAAGGATCTGAGTCGAGGGGGTGGACACAGTGATAGGAGAGGAAGTGCTGAGAGCAGGTGAAAGAGAATGATGCTCACTCAGCTTTGCTGGTGGTCAGGGGAAAGCAAGGTATAAGAACAGCATAATACCACTTGTTTTTGGTGATCTGTTTGACCAACATATGTCCACTTTGCGAGTCGGAGAGAGGCGGATGTTTTAGTGGTGAGGTTGAGGAGACGTGAGTACTCTCATGGCTGCTACAGGGGGTATAAATTGGTCCACTTTTTTGGAGAGTACTTGAGCATGTGAAAATTTTAGGTGAGCGTATTCTGTGATCCAGTTACGTTTACTTCCTTTTTAAATTTTTTAACTTTTTTTAAAAAACCATGCGTTTATTTATTGGTTGTGACTTTTGCGCCACTGGGTCTGGGACTTGAACCATAGTTGGCCATGTAGGAGTCCAGCACCTCAACCACCATACCACCTGCCAGCCCCTGTTATGTTTACTTCTTTTTTTTCTTTGAGTCTTTTTGTTTGTTTAAGAATTTTAATTTAATTTTTTTTTTTTCAGTTTGGTATAGGGCACATGCGCTCACCAGTGAGAGACAGAGAAAAAGTGGGAAAGCAAGCTGCCAGGTCTAGGACTCAAACTGCGATCAGCCATATGGGAGTCTAGCGCCCTAACCACCATGTCACCTGCTGGCCCCTGTTATGTTTACTTCTTGCCATTTCACCTAGGGAGACCTTACTCATGGGTGAAAATAAACATGTGTGTGTTTATTTCAGCCTTGTTTGGGGTAAAGGTAACTTGACACTTGCCTAAATGCCCAGCAATAGGGG